GATAACCATAATTTTCCCAAATAAACTGGCTAACAAGTAGACAGAACGTCAAATCACTTACTATGAATTTTAACAGTTCTGATGACAAAATAAATAGTACAGAACACAAGATGAGACTGAAATTTTGTTACAAAAATAAGATATTTTAGAAAGATTTGATTCTCCATGATTGGGAAAATGATGAATCATAAAAACAAAACAATACAAGGATGTGATCTTGGTATACTCAAGCTGGTACTACATGCACTGTAATAAATACAATAAAGAATATACTACACGACATTTCCAGCTGGAGAGGGAGTGACTCAAACACAAGACCCATGTCTCCTTTCTCTTTAAGGGACAGACAAATAAACAACATTGGCTGGGAAAGGATCTTCTGGAAGCCTGACATTAAACAAGGCAGTCATGGCTGTCACTGGAAAGATCCTAAATTCTAACATTTTATGAGTTTACAGGGTCTGTTTGAAATCCATGCTGGTGTTTGAAGTGCTACTGTTCTATTCATATTACAGATACAACTTCATGGGTCCAGGATGACAAGCTTAGCTCCTCAAATAAAAAATGGGACAAGCACCAAACTGTATTTAAGGGCAGAATAAGATAATGACCAAAAGCACAAAACAATGAAAATTAAAACCCCAGAGACCAGATGCTGTTGGCTGTTGTGGGGCTCAGTTTCCAAGCACCCAGAAGAACTTTTAAGTCCCTATTTCCTTGCCTCAAGGAAGTTTAATGTACCCAAGAGGTGTACATTACTCTTTACTGGGAATCTCGATGCCTTGACACGACAGCATCCTACCCTGACACACAAGTCCTTAGAGTTAGGTGAGGACTTCGCCACTTTTAAGAGCAACACCCTTGACAGTTGCAAAGCCCTTGGCAGACAAATTCCGCATGTCCCAGATGAGGCTCCAACAAGCCAGGAACACATGCTGCACTAGAGTCACTTACACATGATTCCCTTTTAGTATTTACTGGGGGATACTAGGAAAGAGAAAGGAACATTTTGCTACAATTCTTCAACATTGTTTAACTTTTTTCTTTATCATATTGATTTCTACCTAGCAGGCTGTGAGCTTTGTGATCCAGCAATAATCATTTGAGTTTACCTCTGCTTTAATGCACAAATTCTAAACTAAAGATCTTTCCCACAGAAAAGGCAAAATATTCTGTTAATGCACATCATCTTTCACTCTCCCAAGTAAGATGTTTACTTTGTAAGGGTAATAACTGGGATCTTTTTGAAGACATAGGAATACTTTGAATCAGCTTTTCCATACTTCACATTGTTAGGCATGAATAATTACTACCTATGATGTGAGGCAAAAAAGTTAGAAAACTGGGAGATAGGAAGAAAGGACAGAAGCAGTGAGACTACACCACTGAGCATCTGTTTTTCTCTCTTCTTGCTGCCCTACAATTTTTCTAGTAGCTCCTGTTGGAAGGGAATAATACATAGGTAGCTGTGTCACTGGTGGCTCTATCTGCAACCATGCAGTTGTGATTTTATTATGCAGTGTTGTGTTTTAGTAGCTATTTGAAAGCATTATTGAAATATCCCATTGCACATTACGATGACTCTTGTACCAGTAACTAAAGATGTAGTCCCCAGGAAGTGCCATTTGTTTCAGTGGAGCACAGCTGCACTACAGGAAAAAGCCTGGGGCACCCACAGCAGCAATAGGGAAGCAAAGGGAATCAGCAGCTTCTGTCTGACTTGAAATAAGAGTCATCTCCTCTAAAGTACTTATTTGCAAACACCTTGCACAATTACATTTTAGAGGAGTCTCCATTTGGTTTATTCTTAATTATTTTTTTCTTCAGGTGTTTTGATTATTTTGCTGATCTTTTCCTTTGCAAATAAGTCTATTCCTTGCAAAAAAGTCTGGCAGTTCTTTTTTTAACATCCAATATGTCCATACATGGAAGTTACACATTGAAAAATGTATGCTGCTTTTTAATTTGTTCTTGTGTTCTAATGGACGAAAAGCAGCAAGTCTTTGAAATGTCTTTCTTCCTATGCAAAAAATTTAGTTTTCATTTTTTTTTGCATTTTAGAAAAACATTCTGAAATGACAATTGGAAGCAGTAGTTTCTGAAAACCCTTTCAAAGAGGTTTACAACAGCTACTGTATATAGTTATAATTATTTCTGTAGAGAGGCACAAAAAGGATACAATAAAATTCAAGCCAATTCCAAACTCTTCACCTCTTCCTAAAAATCAGGACTACATTTCTGATGACTCCTAATTTAGTAGGTTGGGCTAGGAATCTACTTCTCATGCTGTCAAAGCCGTGTGTTGTGATCTGAAACAGGTCACTTAATCTGTATCTGCTGTTTTCCTTCTTCCTTCCTTAGCTGTCTAATTTATACAGTGAAATATCAGGACAGACTACAACATTGCTGCCGACACAGCTCATAGAAAAATGAGGCATGATCTTTAAAATACAGTATTCATTATAACACTGGCATTGGAAATGCTTTACTCTTTTACAATGCAAATAAGTACATCTTAGTTATGGAGGTTACGTGTACAGATGTCACAGAAGGACATTTAAAGGCAGGCAAATATATGAAAAAAACAGAAGAATCAGAATGAAGATTAAATTTCATGGGGTAAAAATCTGATCATGAAGGACACTTTCTGCACAGTGCATAATGGAGGGTATGGTGTATTCATTTATATGCCTCAAATGTGTACATTTTCAGTGTGCACCATTTCATAAATTAGAAAAGAAATTTGGATGTCAGAGCTTCCATAAATAACAAAATTCATCAAGATGCATTTTTCTCATGACTTTTTTTCTTTTTATCTGATTTGTAATTTTTTAATTTCCTTTGTGTGATCTCAAGATATTAAAGTCCAAACCACCTAGCTATATCACTGGCAAAATAAGTCATATGTCATGCTCAATTTTTAGAGTCATTAGCTACCTGCAGACATCGTCTTATGCAGTGGAGTTAAAAAACCTAAAGAGAGAAAGACAGAATATATCTGAGGGTAAAAAGCCTTTGTGGGTGTTGATGGAAGTATACGGAAGAAACCAGCAAGAACAGTGGATAATGGAAGATTGGTAGTGCAGGTAGTGGGCTTATCTATATGACAAATTGATGAAGAATGAGGAGGAAAACTATGTTGATTTAATGCTGGCAATTTGAAGCATAGGCTGCACAGCTGTTTCAGACAGAAATACCAAGATAAATTCAGAAGCAACCCCTGCTCTGACAGATTAATAAAAGACCAGGAATTATTTGAGCTTCTTAGAGAGAGGGATCACTAAAGAGTCCTTCGAATACCCGAGATATTGCACATAAGAATAAAAGAATAGCTCATCCAGCCCTTGCCTGTCTGTTATCAAGAATATGCTTTAAACTGAGAGTCAAACTTTTCTAGCAGACATAAAAAAAATACATATTAGAAGTCAAAAAGCAAAGAATAAAGCGAACACCTGCTGTTGATACAATTTTAGGGAAAAAAAGTCATTGGCAGAACCTTCAAACAGGACACCTAAAAAAAGACTTACCTAAAATAAAAAAAAAAAAAAAGCCAGACAGGGTCTTCTGTTTCAACTTATGTTTCTTAAACTCATTACTAGAAATAGGAACATTTATCCACGTAAAGGAAAGACACAGGCTTTTTACATTTCAAAAATAAGACAAACCAATTCCACGAAATATTTTCACCACTGCTTTAGGCGTGTCTGTGAATGCTAAGCCCTTCATTCTCTGGTCAAAAATGAAAGGCCATCTTTCCCTGGTGCTGCCACATGTGTAATACGTGTCCTGCATGCTCACTGCTAACAATGCAAGTCTATATAGTCATTATAAAATATATTTTAGCACATTTTACTAAACAGTCAGCCATGCCTCTTAGCTGAATTTCTGAGGGAAAGTTTGATTTACAGGAATTTTGGCCAGTTCCAGACAATCCAGCACTCTCAGAAAGGTTACACTGCATCAGCAGCTTCCCCTGCTCTGCTCCAGAACCCCTTGGAAAAATAACACAAATTAATTCACAAACCTAAAGATCAGAGCTGAGAGTTAGTTCTATGTTGGGAGAGAAGCTTGTATGGAAGAATACTTAGGAAGTGTTAAGACTGCAAGATAGCACTGAAGAAAAACAGTAAGTAGCTTTGGTATCCCTCCCCTCCTCCCTCAAAAGAAGGGAATACTTCTTTGGAATACTTCAGTGTGATGGCTCACTAATGAATTATTCACAGAAAGGTAGGACTTGCTTTCTTTCCCAGGGGTTACAGCAATGTCAAGTGAAAACACGTCAGTCTGCCAAGAAACACCAATGGTGTGGAATAATTCTACAGAAAATGACACAATCACCTCTCTAATAATATGAGTTCTTTTGATGAGTGTATATGAATTACATTCCTACAAAGGATGCCAGGCATTACCAATAATTTGATACTTAATTTTGGGAAAACTCAAAGATTAACAAGCTCCTCTGAGCAACTTGTAAAGCCAGGTTTTATTTTTAATTTATCAGCATTGCCTAAGCTTATTATTCATTGCACAGTCCTTTTCCAGCACTCTTTATAGAGTATAAGCACTCTAAGCACTAATTTTAATGCTAAAATGACTTGTGTTGTAAAAATGCCCACCACCTCCTCATCTCAGTTCCAGGCAGAATTTCCCAAACCTCAGCCCAATAGACAGTCCCAAATGGTGGGGAAGATGATAGCTCACAAGATCTGACTTGCTCTCCGATATTTGGGGTAAGCCTATTTTTCCCACAATCCCTGTATATAAGGTAGAGAAAATGTGTTATTTAGGATGCTTTTTGTCAAGGTGTTGGTTCTGATGGTCAAGAAGAAAATTCCTTTATCAGGAAACCTATTAGGAAAATATCTGCAGTGGTTTTTTTTCACCTCACTCACAATATCATTGCTTAAATACAATTTAAAAATAAATTTAATTTTTCTAAACAGGTTGCAATTCACAACTTAATTTATGCCTAGTGCTAGTAAGATATCTAAAGCACTAACCTTCCAGGACAAAATTTTAAATTCATCTAGTGGACTTGATTCTTATGGGAAAATCTTTGTAGAGTCAACTTGTTCTTCACAATTTCTCTCTCTCATCCTCCAGAAAAAAGTTAGAGATCAGAGAGTTAGCTGCATTCATAAGTCAGTTGCAGGGGAGTCTCACAGAAACTCCATCATCTGTCTTCTACTCTTATATTAAGTTTTGGTATTTTGTGTGAGACAGTTTTAACCCAAAACTGAAATGCATGTTCGTGCAAATCTTGATCTGCCCATTATGTACAAAAATTAAGTTACAGGCAAGGAATTAAGAAGGAATTCTAGACTGACCCATGCTCAGACACTATTTCAGCCCAGAGGTGGGGTGAACTGGCCCCTAAGAACACCTGGGCCCTGATGAGGGTGTGTGTGCACTGCCTGCAGCACACTGCTAACACCAGCAGTCCTGTGACAGTCCAACACTCATAAACAAAGCTGGATTCAGTCAAACATTTGCAAGTATAGGAAGGATTCCCTCTAAAAGTTGTTCTTAAGCCTCAAGGAAGAATTAAGGCACCTAAGACTACTTGGATCATTTTTCCTTCTCTCTGATCACTGTGTATTTGCTGTCATGTGGTCAGATACAAGACTTCACAAGCCGGTCTCTTTCTGGTCAGGGAACTCTTGATCACCATCCTTCACTAAGTCAAAATGCTTCTGTTTTGCTTGTATCTCAGTTGACAATGACTTTTATCTTAAAGCCTGTAGACTTACTCCTACTAAGCAACCTCCATTTCCCACCGCAATCAGTAGCAATGTTTCTAATGAAGACAGAATAAAACATTTTATTAGTTTTAGGGTCATACATTTAATCTCTGAACAGTGACCCCATGTTGTTCTTAGTGGTTTGTTTCTGAAACTGCTTGCTTAAAGCTGAGTAATTTTATCATGTTTAATATCCACTTCAAGGTCTAGCTCCTCTTGACTTTAATTCACCTTACTCCTACCCTTCTTTAACTCTTTTGCATAGATTTCTCTGCCTGTCAGTCCTTTCCGCAATCTTTTTACATTCTGCTAATTAATTACGTGGCTATTCATCCAGTTAGATTATTTCTACCATGTTTCTTTCTTTGTTCTGGATATTAATGCCAGATAGTGTTCAAACTTTTGAATAAAAAAGTTCCAGACCTTCTCCATATTTAAGTTTCTGAGTTTCTTTGGTAGATTGATTTAATCATTCAGATCTGTACAGTATCAAGCTTTGAAATCCTCAGTTACATGCAGATTTCTTCTACTCTTGTAATTTAATTGATGTGAATCACACATCATATATTCTTCAATCAGCTCATCGAGAATATCTTCATTACTTAAATGAAAAATTATTGATGAAGTGAAAAAAACTGTCAGCTATTATCAGCAGAAATAGCCAGTACTGTTAGCATTTGTTCTCCAAGCTATTCTGAAGAAGTTAAATACTTCTGTATGCAGGGCTGCCCATCCGTATGGTCACAACTCCTGGTCGTACTTAAAAGCTTTAATCGTGCACAAAATGTTAAAACATAAAATGCTTTAAAAAGATCCCTTTTAGTAAGCAAATTCAACCCTACAATATCCTACAGACTCAAAAAACTAATAGAATTGTTCTATCATTATTTGATTTTGAAGTGCTTTTGATTCAAACAACATAGCTACACTAATGCTATTTCTTTCTTTCATCTGCCTCATAAATTAAGATGCAATTCTATCTTTTGTGATTTCACACCTGTTTTACCACTACATTCTTGTAATCCTTCTAACACAGAATCATAAAGGTTGGAAAAAACCTCCAAGATCATCAAGTCCAACCTTTGTCCTAATACCACCATGTCCACTAAAGCATATTGCACTCACTTTTTGAACACTTTCGGGGATGGTGAATCCACCACTTCCCTGGGGATCCTGTTTCAGAACATCCTACATTTTGCTGCTCCAGCATAAAAACATTTTCTCTTTCCAGGCCATCAGTTTTTACCCAGATTAATCAAAATCCTCCTGCTGACTGTGGCACCTCAGGAGCTGCTCTGGCCTGTTGCTTTCCCCTCCAGCTGGGCCAGAAGCACTTCCCTCATCAAACCACTGACCAGTTCCTCCCAGCCACTACCCTGCCCAGCCACAGAGGAGAGGCAGGTACCCTGGAGAGGTGGCATAACATGTCTCCCTTGGAGGTGCATCCTCTGGCCCAGGGATGCTAGAACAAGAACCAGCAAGGAATTCATCTCTCATGTTGCAGAAGCTGGACCAGACTGATCTGACTGTTGTCATGCAGATCATTATTCTTCTCTTATTTTGCCCGTGTTTCTGCTCATTGCCAACTCCATTATCATTGGGAAACACTTGATTCACTTCTTCTCTTAATGAGAGATAGGTTTGGCATCCAAAAATCTCTCTATCTTACCTCCCCTTTCTTAGCTCCGGACTCATTTTGCCAATTGTGCCAACTTCAGCCCCCAGAGGCAGATTACCAAAGCTATTTCCTTATTGTCAGCTTCCTCAGTATGCAGCAGTACATTTTGATCAACTGTGAGATAATCTGTGTCCATTCCACTCTGCATTGTGGTTACCTACAAATTGACTGATTCATTTGTAAATAGGCATAATTTTGTTTAAAAACCATTTACATTTCAGGACATACTTTTATTCGAAGTTCATTCTTCCACCTTCTGTACTGATGTGTACATTACTTGGGGTTTTTGTGCTATAAAAGTAATGAGAAAAAATGCTTTATTAACTAGATCATACTTTTAAATATGTTGCATAACCAGAGGATTACTGAAACCTTTTTTTCTTCAGGGTTTAAGTTTATAACTACTGTGTTTGTTTTTATTGTTTCCTTTCACCTCCTTTCCTTACTCCTATCAGGCATGCTTCTGTGTTCCAGCATGTATGTAAAATTAAGGATAAAGTTAAAAAAGCATCCTCATACCAGCAGCATATCTTCATGGGAACTTCTTGTCTTGTGAATAAACTACATTAGTTCTTCTAGAGCATGGGAATCATGCATCTTCTTGGGGAATGCTCCTAAAGTCCTCAAAAGGCACACAGATATCAAAGGAGATTTGCTCCAATCTATTCAATGACTCTATCAGCAGAGGACATGTCTGAAGGCAAGAATGGCCTTGCTGTGCTCCAGTACTATATTCAAAATACTTGTGTGTTGCCATATCAGCACAGGCTTCAGACAGAATCCATACAGCTCATAGGAAATTGTATTCTAGATTTTTGGCAGAGTGGGAACCAAATCAAAGTCTCCCACATCTTACATCATTCCTCCTGAAGGTTTGAATGGCTTTCTGAAACAGAAATGCAAATTCATGTGAAGGCACTGCTAAACTATTCCAGCTTGTTAAAGAGCTGAAGTAATTCCCAGCTGGTTCAAAACCAGATGAGTTTACCACTAAGATCCTTTCCCCTACACTCAGCTATTGAGGGTGGCATTAGAGTTTGCCCATTTAAGAGGTAGTCTCAAAGAAGCAAGAATCGTTAAACTGGAGTCTCCTCTCAAGCAAACCCAAAGGTGCTCTCAGAGATGCGGTACATGGATAATAAACCCTTTCCAACAGTTGTGTTCTATTCATTGCTGGTTTTCTCATGTATATCACATGAGAACAAGAAAAATTTAAAATTCTAGTCTGTTTTACTAGTTTCATGTACAGTTTAGAAATGTGAACAATTTGATAGTATAAATAATTAAGTCAGTTTAAAGAGGAATTCTTACAGAATACCAATTCAACTACAACAGCATATGTAGCCACAGGCTGAAAAATGCAGTCTATCAGCTAGTCATTTGCTCTCTTAAATGATATGGCACAGAAAAAACCCTATTATTCTATTAAGGCTTCAGAAGTTCAATAAAGCCAAAAGTAGCATGCAGCTTTGCTTTGCAGATAAGGAAAGCACAGTTATAAACTTAAAGTGTAAAGGAACTGACTTCTCTGATTTCAAAACTTTTTCAGAGTATGGAGTAAGTTAAGTGTAAATATTGTACTACACACCTCCTGAGTTCTCCCATATTCCTTCTACTTTTAAAAGTCTATAGCATCCTTCTAGCAATTACTTATCATAAAGATGAATAAAGAAGAGAAATTTAATGTATTTAAGCTTTCATCTAATATGACAGGGATTTAATTCATAGGAGATTGGGAGATACACCTACTCTTCCCTGCAGTTTCATCTTGCCTAACAGCTTTTCTCTTTCTCTCAGTGGTAAACAAGTGCCAATGATGTCTAACTACAGAGTTCACTGTACACACCAGAACACAGCATTTCAATGCCACAGTCCATCCACAAACCTAATTTTAAACAGAAGTTCTCTTGCAAATCCAGTGAGTCAACATCTTAAGTGCATTATCACATCATTCCTAAGTGAAAAGTCAGTCAAATTTAATAGGGACCTCATTAATCCCATTGTTTTCCCTCTAAGACACAGATCAATCCAGTCCTTTCCATATTCTCACAAAAGAGAAAACTGCAGGAAGCAGTGACTGCTTGTGTTGCTACTGTAAATCACATCTGCTGGAATAGTTCTTTCCTATCTGATCTAGAGCTCTTGCAGCTGCAGTCTGACCATACTGTCCAAAGTCACTGTGTCTTAAATTACATCATGATATAAAGTCTTGAAATTTAAATGCTTCTTCTGCTATTCTTTTCTAGAATTTGGCAATGGTTTTTGTCTGTATTTGGAGATAAATACTTCTCAGTTTTGAAGACAAAGAGTCGCCAAAATTGAACACAGTGTAAACACACTAAGACATGCTAAGAGGAAATAAAATTAAAAAAAAACCCAAACCCCACAAAAAAACCCCAAAATAAAAACAAAAAAAACCCACCAAAAATCAGCACTACTAAATTAATGAAGTCTACTGTCCTGTGTACTCGTGCCACACCTCACTCACACATTCACTATATAGCATTCCCACCAGATATATCACATGCCTTAGCTAATCCCAAGCACAACATGCACTGGTGAGAGAACAGACAGTAGCTGGCTTGCTGCTTTTCATGTGTTCTGAGCACAGGAAAATAAATACTGTCACATACTCATCCACTAGGAGCAACTGGTATTTTTATATCATAAAGATATTTTGGGGGGTGGTTAAATATAAAATTAGGGAATACAAGTAGAACAATTGTCTACTACACTACCAGCTTCCTACATATGTCTGCTATCAGGAAAATTTTGAGGTTTCCCAAGAAATTTTGCCTAAGTAAGGGATAAGAGATCAGGCCACAATGTAAAAACATTCATTCTTTCATAAATCTATTTCAGCTCTTTTGGGGGTTTTGGAATCTCTTTTAATGGTGTTGAAACTATTTTGAGATATTTAGCAACTTTATAACAAATTAAGTTAGGAGAGGAAAAATCTTCTTAGACCAACTGCCAAGTTTTCACACAAGGGCTTTTCCACATATTAATATCTGTTAAGGAAACTATCCTAAAATGTTGTAAACACATGTGTTTCCATTCTAGGCTTGATGTCTATGCCAGGCAGGTTCAGTGCTCACAAGGTACCTTAATATTACTCTTTTGTAATTTTTAATTATTCATAAGTCTGCTTCCCTGTCCAATCAAATTGTCTGACAACATACATTGTTCTTTCGGTCAATTTTGAGTCTTGCCAGTTTTCAGATTTTTAAAACCACCTCCACTATTAGTCAAAATGCATCATTTGTTAGCAAGGATCTAACAACAGCTCTTCATACCCTGAGAACAGTCTTTGCCTTATGGATTGCAGGGAAAAAAAAAAATCAATTACAGTCTGTGTAAATGACAAGAGAGGTATCCATGAAGTAAATTCAGAATTTATACCTGAAGACACTGCAGGCACCCTGTCAGGCTGCGTGGATTTTCTTCCAACTCTGTCAGACTGTAATTGTTTACTTAACCTGGATATTGATTGTAGTTAGACTGCTGGCTCACTTCCTTCAGCTGCAATTCTCATTTTGGCAGTTTCACATACATCACTTAAAATTCCTCTCTGCAGCAATGCTGTTCACATTCTTAACTCTGGGTCATAATCTACTAAACATGACCACATTTTTAGTTCTGCATTATGATGATGGGATTTTTCTTACATTTTCTGATCTCTGTAGAACAAAAAGTGGAAGTTTTTAGTAAGAAGGACCTTGAATCACTGCCCTTTACAATTAGTATTATACAGTTTTATGGAAGAGCACAGATAAAAGTGAGAGATTCTGTGGCAGTGTAGCTGTAGAATACATTTTCCATGTTTTATGAATGACTATATACATATCACTTTCTATCAATTAGTATTAAAATAATAATTAGGTCTCATGTAGATCCAAATTTTATGTCAATAGTTCAGATGTGGCTTTGAGGACTAAAAAAATCTTTTATATGAAAACTTTCTTAATAGTCATTCTGGTAGTAATAAACTACGGCAAGAGGCACACCAAGTTGCTATCTGAAAAAATAAACAAAACTATTAAAACATAATGACTATGAAGTGTTAATTCAGTCACGATGTGTCTTGTCTCCTGTATTGGTTTAAGTAGGCTCATCTACTATAAACCTACTTAGGCTCACCTACTACAAAGCTTTTAGGGTCACTAATGTGTTCATGTGTGAACATGAAAGATTGCTAAATCCTCATAAGGCAATTCTGTAAAGGCGAATAAACCTTGAAATAATGGCAGATCCCATTCCTAAAAGGGCAAACAATGATCACAGAGTCATTACACTGCACCAGCTGAAATACAGAATTCTTCAATTTAAATGGTTTATAAAGAGACATCTGTAAAGAAATAACATTCATATAAGTCACTGTCATTTCTTTTCAGTTATTTAACAAACAGGAAAATGACACCTGGTCATTGATAAACAGGATAACTTGACATCCAGTATTATCTGTTTCTCTTTACCTAAAGCTGAATTCCAAATTAGGCATCCGGAAAATTAAAAATAGAAAGAACTCATATTCATATATCAAATTAATTCAATAAGCCTCTATAGGTATGTTAAATATTAACATATTTTTGCATACTTTTGGACTAGGAGATACTCTGATATTTCAGGCCCTCAAGTACAGATTGCTAAATATATCATTCATCAAAAAACAAGAACAGAAGCATTTTTGGAAACACGAAACCATTCCTTCAGTAGAAAAGACAGTGCTAAATTAGAATAGGTGGACTCTATCTGACAACAGTGCAAAGTATTAACCCCTCCTCAAAAAAAATCAATGCTTTCATAACTAATGAAGCTTGGGAACTGTTTTCAGATATTGTAAAAAATATGAAACCCAAAAGTGCTTCACCTGGAATATTTTCATGTCTAAAATTTGGCAGTCACATAACTTTAAAGGATAGCACATCTCCAGATATCGATCAGGGCTTTGTACAGCTACAATGCCATAAAAATGATCTGCAGCTATAAAAGAGATAACATGATTATGAGTACACTACATTGTAATTTCCTTTGGGCAGTCAGAAAGGAAAGACAGTCTGATAGTCTCTGAGAAAAATAAGCTTGGAGGATATCCACTGTCTGACAGAAAAATCATTTTACAATATTCCAACTAAAGCACCTTCCCAACTTAAATAACAACAACAAAAATAACACTAGAGCTTAACAATTACCTTTCAACCAAAACACAACAGGCAGCTGCAAAGCTAAGCAGCTCACAATGTATCTGAGAGTTTTAATGCTCCAAATTCCTTGTGAGTTCAGGCATGGAACATAGATAGTTAACCTTATTTTGAGCCATTAGATGGAGCTTACTAGAAAGCTTGCTCTAATAAATGGTATGATGTGAAGGTCAGCCCTTAATTTACCATCAAAATATCTTCTAGATGTAAACATAATGACTTCTGCTTATGCACTACACAACCCTGACAAGAATGCTACTTGACAGTCCATTTCAGATCTAGAAAAACGTTCTCATTTGCGTCAAGGTGCTGAATGTCAGCAGATTCACTAATACGCTTATTTGCACTGCAGTGGTGGAACAGAGGAAAACACCATGAGCCTCCATACCCTGCCGCTGCCTGGCTAGGGAGCTGGTGAAATAAAACAAGATATAATCCTGTCCATATCACTGTGCAGTTGGTGAAACTTGACAAAGCAACATTAAGTATTCAAAGTGGTATTGTGGTCTAAAGGGATCACATGCAGCTTGCACATGAGAGCAAAGGAATAACTTGGTTCTGCTTCGGTGTTTGTAAATTTAATTTGTTCAAGGAAAAGCAACTCTGGAAGGGATTACTAGCTGGGATCAACACTCTTACCAAAGAAAAAGATAAAATGCAAGTAGGAATAATATTGACATTTTTGTAATACGAAACAGCTTTTTGGGCTTAAGTGAATAAATAAAAGTTGGAGGCAACTGCAGCTCAACCCTGGCATATGAGAATACTCCACTCAGTGTTCCTGAGCAGGAGGGCCTGGAAAGGTTATGTATTTCATGACGACTGTATAGGTATTTAGAAAATACCGTATTTTACAAAATTTAAAATTTATTCAGCAAAATATTGTTGAGTATTCTCAGTGTAATCACTATTTTTTAAATAAGTGGGGCAATAATATTCATGGCATAACAACATCTGATATATTGACTCTTTATTATTGACAACATCTCATTCCACAGGTTCAGGGAAGGATATCTGTGGCTAAGTGTGTAAATCCCAGGTGCTCAGGAAACACTGAGCCAGTGCACATACACACATTTAATTAAGAATAACCAAGATGCAGCAATGCACTTCTGAAATGATAGTACAAGAGAAACTTGTAAATCCCCTTTGCTAAGTGTAGCTCTGTATTTACAGTACCTGCAATATCCCTGAATAGCACAATTTTTCAACTGTTAAAAGTCACCTCTGGTCCTACAGTAGAAAATGAGCAACAAATTTCTGAGTCTGTAAAATGCTCCTTTTGCTAAATACTGGAGTGGAGAGGTGCAGGCAATCCCCTGGGACTTGGCATGGGAGGGAAGGTGCCCTGAAGGTACATTTCCTTACTGGGCCCTTTCCATAGAAATTAGGGACAACTGGGGTAGAGGGTGGGGAGGGCAGCTGAAAGCGACGACAGAACGGTCTCCTATTTTGTTTTAGCAGGTGTCTTTGTGATGACTAAACCTCCAAATAACTGCTAAATGCAATGCATATTTTCCTAGAGTGAAGGACAATGAAAACCTTTTCCTTGCAGATTGATACTTCAAATATAAAGCACAGAAAGATAAGCACTGCCAGCAAGGAAACTAAAAATACATCTTCTTAAGCTTGATTAATGAGCTAATAAAAAGCTATAATAAGAAAAAAATCCAATTAAAGCATCTTGTGATATTTCTCTCAAACAGAAATAAACAACCCAAGAGCATGGTAAAACTTTGAAAAATTATTATGGATTCATATGACAGCCTTAGTATTCAAACCTACAGTACATCAGTTTTATACTTTCTTTGACTAGCTGTCTTTTATTTATCATCTCTGATGTGTATTGCCTAGAATTCTGATCCTTGATGAGTTTTTTTTTTATCTTGTTATTGCCTCACAAGTATAACATCTGAATTTAAATACAAACATATTAAAAACTCAGGCATTATAAGGGTTGAAGATACTTATTCTATTCAGAAAACCTGCAGGCCTCTGGCACAATGTGTGGTACTTGGAAACAGTGAAATAAAGGCAAACTCCCTGGAAACAAAACTCATCCGTTACCTATATAAAGTCAGAAAACAAACTAGCTACACGCATCACTGATGTACAAAGGACAGAGTAGAAAGCATAGAAAATTTATACTGTGATATTCACTCTTCATCAGTTTCTGGTACCTGAAGGCAATCAGAGGATACAAGAACAGCAAGGACACCGGAAAGGAACTGTAAAAGACATAGGTGGGAAGACCTGTAGATTTGAAGCCAGATGAGAAGCACCTGCACCACAAGGAACCCCAGCCTGCACCATGCAGCACCTGGAAGTGAGTAGCACTCAGCCAAGGGCCCCTGACAGTCTATGAGGGAAGGCAGCCCACCAAAGAAACCCCAGGTTCCTTAGAGGCACAGAGCTGGGGCACAGCAAAGAGCAGCAGGGCAGGGACAGTCTACATAGGGTCGTAAAGAAGACTGAGAATCTCGTACCAGAGGCAGTTGTTATTTTAAAACTACAGAAACTGTCTGTTTTAACTTACTGAAACATCAGTGGAGTCTCCAGGATAGGTGCATCCCATCTCCCTCTGCCGGCTGCTCCCCGCGAGAGCGACCTACTGCAGCAAAGGCTTCTGTCAGCCAAAAGGTATAGCGAGACACTGCCCCCAGCTCCCTCTGAATTTCATTTTTTAAACAAGAATTAAAACGTCTTAGTACACATTCTCTAATTAGGCAGGCATAGTCTTTTTCTCTTTGCACAGTTCAGTGAACATTTAGCGTTTCTTTTTATCCCTTTATTTCAAGTTGTGTCTCAAGACTTCACTGAAGAGCATGAAATATCAAATGAATTTCCTCATCAACCGCCAGGAGTGTTTCACGAATACTTTTCAAAATACTTTCGTTTGATGACGGGGTTTGCGTTTTCTTATTTGTCAGCAAGGGAACCAAGATACACAAAGACTACATTGTATCTGCCTGCTTCAGCACCCGCCCAGGATTCCTGAAACTTACATTAACAACAAAGTTGACTTCAGATACTTCAGGCGGCGCCTGTAAAGACGTGCCTTGTTCTACACTGAACCAAGTGTGCCTGGGTGACGTGCCCGACACCGCAGCGGAGCTCCCGTGTGTCCAGCGCAGAATCCAGTCGCCCAGGGAAGCACCGAAACCCCCGCAAGTCAGACCAGCGTCCACCTCACTCCACCTCCCTACTCGTCCCTGGCTCCTGCAGGGAGTAACGCCGGCCATTACTTCCATTTCAATACTTCGAAATTCCGCAATTCTGATGGTTTTACTTAAGAAAAAAAAAAGGGAACAGTTTTACTGGTTTAAAATGTTTGGCGTCTCTCTTCGCGCTCCTTTTCTGATGTAATGTGTTGTCAACTTGTTCTCACAAGCACATCCCTGACGCCAAAGCAGTCCCTGGCCCCAGCACCAGGAGGCACACCCCACCCCAGGGCGAAGGGGCAGGCGAGCCTCCAGCTACAACGACAGAGCGGCTGCCCCAGGCGTGACAGAGGCGACGGGCAAGGCGCGTTCGCGGGCTGCTGCTCCCATGGCGGGCCCTGGGCGTCTACCAGGAAGGGAGAGACCAGCCTGGAGAAGGCAGAAAAGACTGGGTACGTCCCTGCCGGGCGCCCGGGGCTCCCAAGGACAGAGCGGGCGGCTGCCCGGCCGCACGGGGCTCTCCAGCCCGAGGCACTGCAGACACTTGTTCCAGCGGCCCCGGCCAGCAGCGGCCACGCTCCCACGACGACGCCCCGCGGGGGGCTCGCCCACGGCCGCTGGCCCCGCCCCCGCCAGTCCCCCGCCGCGCCAGGGGCGGCCCGGGCAAGGGGCCCGCGCCTCCAGGAACACGCCCGTGGGCGTTGGGCCGCCCCGTCCCGCTCCGCAGAGGTCGCAGCCGCAGTCCCGCCGTCGGGGCCCGCCGGCAGACACGCACCTCCCAGCCCGGACCGGCACTCCCGGCACACTCGCAAACCCCGCTCCCTCCCAGCCGGGCCGGCAAGCCCAGCCCCGCCCGCCGCGCTTCCACTCCTGCGCACTGGCGCGCCCCCCAGCCGGGGCCGGGGCGGCGGGCGGGGGAGCGGCGGGCGGCCAATTGTGGCCCCGCGGGGGAGCGGCTGCGGCGGGGCGCGCCGCCGTGCTCGCAGGGCAGGATGGAGGCGGAGGGCCGGGCACCGGGTCGCTGCTCCTCGCCGGCGGGAAGGGCCGGGGACGACTCGCGCCCCGCTGGCGGGTGCCCCGGCACGGCCCGGGGCCGCTGATTCGCCGCCGCCGAAGGTGCTGGCGCTGGACGAGAGGAGGACGACCTGGAGGTGTTCAGCAAGGTACGGCAGCGCCCTCCGCGGGTCGGGCCGTGGCCGCGCCGGGGCGCCGGCGGGCGGCTGGCTGGCCAGCACTTTGCCCCCGGCGGGCACCGGGCGAGCCGGGCCGGGCCGGCTCCGCCCCGAGCGCGGATCGCGGCCTCTGCCCGCCTGCCCGCGGCCGGCCGGCAGCCCGCGCTCCCCGCGCCGGCAGGGCAGGGCTGGTCCGGCCGCCCCCGGGGCTCCGCTGCGAGGGCCGGGCTGCCCGGGGCGCGGGGCTGCCTGGGGACAGCGCTCGGCGGCCAAGGAGCCCCGGGCGAGTTCCCCGGCACGAAAGGCAGGTTCGCTGCTTCGGACCAGCAGTTCGAGTCATGACTGCCCTTACCTTAAATGTGCCGTGTAATCTGGACACCTTATCATCACTTACGTTCGTTATGTACCATATATGTATCTGTAAATTAAATAAACACTCGTGTTTAGTAATTGCAGTAGTGTTTAAATAAATGTTTGCAAGTTTCAATTTGAGTTTTCTTTTGAAAGATGAAGTCTCCCACCTTCACACAGGAGGCTTGAGAAGTTAACATCTGTATTTTGATGAAGGGAATAAAATAAATGTAACTGAAATATATTAGGGTCCATGTTCAGAAACCACACAGTTAGCTAGGTACATGGGTACCCGTCTTGCCAATATTGCCGATTTTAATTAAATCAATGAAGTGTGGTATGGCTACTATGTATATTATTTTTCATTTTGTACTGATTTGGTTAAGATTAGACTTACCTCTTGCCTTCTCGGCAGTTAAAGAAGAGAACATCTCATGGATCTATTTGCCTTATCAAGGCAGCATCTAAAATATAAAGACATACAGAAAGCTATGGTGGAAAAAATATATACAGAGGCTAAGGTGCTGTTCACCCTCTGAGGCTTGTGAACTGCTGTGTGACAGGATGTGTGCCATGGGAGAGAAACAGCAAATACACTTCTGATTTGAAAAAGCAACAACATACATATATTCAGTAGGACTGGTTGTCATATGGATTAAATGTGTGGTTTTTTATATTTTTGTAGGCAAGATACATTGTTGTGGTATGCATGAATAAAACCATTGGAATAAGGACTTCCTTCTTAGAAGCTATGTATTTAAACTTTGACTGTAGTAGAATTCTTGAAACTCATGGCTTTTAAGGCCGGAAGGAACTATTAGGTCATTTAATAGTTTGTAACATGAAAGACATCAGGCTAAATTTCACCAAGTTATCTGTGTTTTTCTGAAGCATAACTAGGGTCTAGCTGAAATATGTTCTTCTAGGAAAGCACCAGCCCTGGTTTGACATAAAGCAATGAATGATTCACTGAACTTGCATGCAAAAGCAGTGCTAAAATATAATTTTAGTTGTTTGTGCTCACTTTGAATCTTTTTGCTTTTATGAGGTAAGGTCAGGCAGTTCTGCATGAAGGTATCTGCCTATTAACACAATGTATCAACAGCTATGCTGCTTGCTTGTCAAGAGCTATTCCCCTCGGGAATAAAAAATAAAAACAAGTGGAGTTGATAAAAGTTACTGCTGCTATTGGCAAATACCTATATCTTTAAATTTCTACTTGGCTTCATGACAAATATTTCTTACTTATATGAAATCTTTAGTACTATTAATGCATGCTACATGATAAGTTATTCCCCACAAACAAGAAAAAATATCATATTATGTTAAAATACGGCCTTTTTTCCAAAGCTTGGACACCTGCCCGTAGTGTATATATAGACCAGAAATCCCTGGTTTGTTTTCAGGTGTAATTTGAGGGCTGATCTTCTGAGCTTATGAAAATCTGTGAGGTTGTTTAGGCTTTAGACCCTATTTGTTCATGTTCCATATATTCAAGGGAAACTGACAGGCTAAATGTAGCTTCCAATTAAGTGTTGTAAACCCAATTTTTCTGTAACATATTGTTCCAGGACTACTTCGATTTAAATTGTACCTTAATGGGGTTCCTTATGCCAGTGTCTGTAAGGTAGTGGTTTAGCATTTGCAGGCCAAGTGGGATGGCAACGGCAGTGCAGAGCTCGGTACCTGCCACTGCCGTCGACTTCATCTTTCTCAGTTTAGTCCGTGCAGTGTGCCATCTACCAAAATGGTGAAAAATGAGATTCTTAAAAATTGTCAACCTCAATACCCTAAGTTATTATTCAAAATGTAAATACTGGGCTTTTTAATCTATGAAAATCCATAGACATTTAACCTGATAGTGTTATAACCCATTGGCCTGGTATCCTGTGACATATCTCAAATACTACAGACCAGCATCTTCTTCGGCAGCTCTGATAAACCATTTCATGATGTGGTGTGCATTTCACTTTATCCTAGTTTCCACTACCATTGAAAAAGTTCTGACTTCTTTTCAGCAGAGACAAATTCTAGGAGTTGAGTTATGAGTCACACAGGTACAATGTTTCAACCTGCTTTCTTCCATGAGTTTGGAAGTATGGAGTACTGCATGTATTGCAATACCCATTCAGGTATCCTTTGCCTTCCTTGTTAAGTGACACCTAGCATTGGGAAAGCTTCATATGATTGCAAGCTCTGGATCCTTACTGGGAGGTAGGGATGGATGGATGAGGCATGGAGGCAAACCTGTGTCAAGGGCCTGTGCTCTGGGAAAGAGCGGTGTTTAGGCAAACCCCCAGGCTTAATGTCTTCTACAAAGAGCTGCAGTCTCAGCTGTGTGTTCTTTTTTGAGGCCACTCCTGCTGTGTGAGTGTTTTCCTTCCCTTATTTATTTTAGAGTCTTACTGACCAACTGCAGTCAAATGTGAGAGTGAGATAGGGTAACTGCAAGTATTAGAGAAAGGAGAGCCAGAATAAGGTCCTCATACTGCCAGGAGCTTGTTGATTTTCTGTCTGTTTGGTCTCTTGGCCAGTAAATCAAAAGGCCTGACTCGCACACACAGCTCTGCCAACTGCTCTGTCAGGAGTGAAAGGGCTTGGAAGGAGAAGGGATACTCCAGGTAAGTGGGGCTAGGGAAGGCATGGGAAGGGACATAATTTTCTGGGACAGGGCCTTGATGCTTTTTGCATGGATGAAGAGGAAGAAGGTTTCACAACACAAGAGCTGGAAGAATTGTGTTTTTCCTGTGCCGCAAAACTCCTTCTGCCCTCATCTATATGCACACAAAAACATAGTTCCAACCACAAAATTACAGCTGTATAGAAAATTATCATCTTTTTTTAACTGTGTTTCTGTGATGACATCAGACTTAGCTTGCATGAACTTCAAGAACTACTGTAAGTAAACCTGAAGTATCATGAAGATGAAACTTGTTTAAAACACATGCATTCATTCATGTGCACATGACTACTAGACCTGTATTAAACAAATCTGAAGACCTGCTTGTTCTATGGATTTTTATGCCTATGTTTTGTTTCACAAACCACATATTCATCAGCCTTCCCACATAAAAATATGCTTTCAGAAACCTGCATGTATAGAGAAAGTTTTAGTAGCAACCTAGAAGAAAGAATGAAACATTAAGACATTAATGCCCCATGGAAAATGAGAAAATATGAAACACATGTACCTTGATCCAATTTAGGCCTTGCAGAGTCATTAGTCCTCAAGTTATATGGCCATTCAAGTCCCTTACACGCTCACATGCATTTTTCTTTCCCTGGAAATTTCCCGTTGTCTCAGCGCTTTGAATCGCATGGGCTGCTCTGAACTAGCAGTCTTCATTCTTCATCCAGAGTGTGGCCAGCCAGTACTAGCGGGCTCTGAAAACAGCTTCTCTGTTTATTCTCCACCACTCAGGACAGTGCTAGCTGGATACCAGTATAGAAATCACATGTAGAAACACACTGAATAAAAGTAAAATGACTGACAGGTGTACAAGGAAGCCACTATATAATATTTAAAGTCTTGTCTTTAGTCTTCCGTGTTGCTTTTGTCTCCCTGTTCAAAGAACTGGTACATAAGTGCTTTCTGGGCATAATTCCCAGTATAAATTTCTCCTCCATATTTGTGGGAGTACATTGATAAATCCAAAGGAGAGGGATGGCAGTAGGCAATGAGCTTAAGGCAGGAAAAGAGCAAGATACCACATTCCAGAGAAAGTTTTGATCTAGTTGAATTCAAAGGGAAAAAGGAACTCTCCCCAGCTCAGAAGCACTATGGTGGTGTGCTCTTCACTCCCATGAGAGCAGCCTTGGGACGATGCCGTGACTCCAGTTTGTGTGGACTCACACATTTCCAGGCCTGGCATTCAAGCAGTTTTCTCTTTAACTACATCCCTTTCCTCCTTCCTCCATAGTTTACAAGGCACTGGAAAGGGCAACTCTTTCTTAGTGTAGTCTAACTATGCTTTTAGAAAACTTCTA